ATTAACTCTTTTTTGTAAACTAACAAACCTAAAATATCAAAAACCCTAAAAGGTACTACGTAGTATAGTTATATCAAAAGAAAAAATAACATAATAATTATATTGATATCATCAAAATTGCATGTACTTACAAATAAAACAATCATATTTGATATCAAAATTACATGTATAACATTCTCACTCATCAAAGCAATAAAAATATGTACATAGTGGTTGGGCGAATAACATCTATGCATTAAATTACAAGAAGGTTAAAAGTTATATCTAATAAATTACATGTATAACATTCTCACTCATCAAAATTACATGTATCAACATGTAAAACTTTTCAAAATTTCATTTATGTTTATAAATTCTCTTGGATAGATGGTTTACAAGAATGTTAAAAGTTATATCTAATAAATTTTAAAGTTATTAACCTGTGTTATTTCATATATGAAGAAATTTATGATTTCTTTAAAAATCTAAGATCCGCATATTCTCGTTGAGAAAGATAGGATACAAAAATTACTATTTTGATCATATAATCATTTTTTTTATTTTGTTAAATTTTTTTATTAAGTATCTAATTTTTTTTATTTTATCCTCTTTAATCTTATATATTTAAAACTATTGATAACTACTTTATGTTAAATTTGTGTAGTTGAAAATGTATAAATATATTATTTAATTTGAAAAATAATTTATTCTCACTCACGTCTTAAATCATGTAGTTTTTTATTATAATATTTAGAACTCTAATCTTATTATATTTCATATTATGTAGTTTCAAAACCTCATTAAATTTACGTAAAAAAACATGGGTTACATGTAGCAATTGACTAAAATATAATAAAAACGAGTTTGTTACCGTTTTAACTTGCGGCTTTGATGTATAAGTCCACTGGTTAAATGGGTCTTTCTATATAATAAGGTTCAATTGCAGATTAGTACAAAAAGTTGATTATAGTTAAATCCCACGGCCTGTAACATACTCCAGAAAAGGGTAAAACAGTGTTAACAAAAAGGAAAAAAATAAAAATTAAAGCCACAAAATTTGTAAGAACTGAGCCTTCAGTAGTTTAAAGAGAAATAATGATTGAAGTAAAGTTTGAAATTTTTACTTAGATAAAAATAGTTTAAATGAAAACTTTTATATTTCAAATTTCATTTTTAAAAATTCACCCTCTTTCTAAATTCTAAATCCTTTTATTTATTCCTAAAACTTTCTTACATAATTCTTATTTTTTTTTAGATCTAAGCATATGATATGTATAAAATATTAGGTATAATAACTATATTTTAATTAGGAATAACATATTTTTTAAAAAAATTGAGTAATAAAATCTCATATGATAGTATTTGATATTTGGAATATGATTATTTGATGTTTGGAATATGATTTAACACGAGTCATGCAAGTTTATTATCAACATATTTTGATAAAGCAATAATTAGTTGTTTAAGTGAATTATGCAGAAGAGGAAATTATTCTTCTCGGGTATATTTTCGTTCAAGCAAAAAACTCCTAATGAATGAGACTTGTCTCAGGTGTATTTTTGCTCAATTGAGAAATCCAAAAAAGAAGGTGATTCTCCGGTGTATTTTTTTCTTAAGCAAAAAATTTTCACTCGAATGAAATTTCTTAGAATTTTTTTTTGAATTTCTAAAAATCATAAAAAATAGTTTCAAACTTTAAATTTAATGTTCCATATATGCAAATTGAAGTATTTAAAATAAGGAATATAATAAAACAAGAATTAGTCATAAAAAATATTTGTAAAAAAATATATGACCAAAAGAATAGATAGATGTCAAATCTCAAAAATTTTATGTAATGTGAAAAATGGTATATACCTGACTTAGGATATTAGAATATATGTATTGAACATAAAACAATGTATTATGAGTGTTAAATATATGTATACAAAATATATATTATTGTAATGTGAAAAATATTATGTGATATCCTTATATGTATGTTATATTTGTGATGAATTTATGAAAGTTAACATAGTGGTTTCCGAGGTGGAAATACTATATTGAGATGTAGGTAATATATTGAATTTGAAATTGAAGGAAATAGATATCCTAATTCTACTTATACTCTCACACAAAGAAAAGTATCAGGTGGTGAGAGTTGAAGGAGATCTCTATTGTGGTATAAAAAATAATTGTATCTGATAAGTTGTAGGGATTTACCTTGTCACATGAGAGAACGTGTTCCAATTATGTACCAATGTTGAAGATATTTACTTAAGAAAGATATTGTGATAAATATCAATCTTTGAATCTAAATTCAATGCATGAGAGTCTTGCAAAAGTAGAATCAAATATCTATAATTGTGAATGTCAGTGTATGATGATATGAGATGTGACTTACATGCTGATAGATTAGACATTTGATTTATTGTATAGTTGTGATGTTCAATTTATTTATTCAGATGTGAATATTGAGAATATTTTGTGATAAACATATGAATGAAGAATTTTATTACTAGCTTACTCTAATTTGTGTGGTGTGTTGGTTTGAACTACAATAAATATGTTGTTACACGTGAAGAAATGATATTCAAAGTGATCTAATTTCAATATTGAGTTGTTGAATAAGTGAAGATGAAACTTTATATTTCAGTTATTCTATTTAAAAATATATATGGAAAACTTATATAATGTGATATTTTTTTTTAAATACTTAGACATATGATATACATAATTAAATGTATTTATATCTTTAAATATTTTAATTTTATGTTTTAATGCAATGGTCATGTAATGATATATTTAAGTGCTAGTTATGAACCAATGAAAAAAAAACATATTTTGACTCTTGTATCATTTTTATTAAAAAAAACATTGAAAAATTATTTAAAATGAAGAAGTTTTTTTTAATTAGATTTTAAATTCCGAAGAGGGTTACTAAACGGTAAAAATGTTTATTCTAAAAATAATTATCCATAATTAATTAAATATATTATTTATATTTAAAAAGTATTTATTTTTTCCATAAATAATTAAAGTATAACTTAAATAAAAAGTTAATATAATTTTTTATAACCTATACTTATTACATATTTATTAAAAATATTATTATTAAAAAATAAAATATTATAAAATATTAACATTAAATTTTTGGTTTGATAAGAATAAAATCCATTCCTACCTATCTTTCTATATCTATGCAATAGAAAAATAGAATTACGAAGTTATATGTCACTTTAGGGTTTAAAATATAAGCGTTTAGAATTTAGGGTTCATGAGTTAGGGTTTGGAGTTCGAGATTTGAGATTTAGAATTTATGATTTAAGATTTAGCGTTTAAGATTTAAGATTTAAGGTTTAGGGTTTAGGATTTAAGACTAGATTTAGTTTAAATATAAAATAAGTTAAAATTTTTGAATAAGATAAAAATGAAAGAAAGATAAAAATAAAAACAATGGAAGATATTATCTTATTACAATAAAAGAAAAGAATAAACAACCTTATAACTTTTAAATCTTCACACAAACTATAAGGATGCTTATCTTTGCAACAAAGATTTGATATCTATGACAACATATAAATTTGTAATAATATTAATTTGGTGTTTTATAATTTGATATAGTTGAACTAGTTTTATTTCATTGTGATGTTTGAAATTTATTTTTGTAAAAATATAATAAAAGAGAGATAACGACGTATAACATTCATATAAGAATTCAATTAAAAAATTTAATATTTTCATTTAAAACATATTAATATATATATATATATATATATATATATATATATATATATATATATATATATATATATATATATATATATATATATATAAACTGTGGTTAAAAAAATACAATAATATTTTTTATTATCTTTTACTTTTTAACAAGAATTAATTTATAACCGTGATTATATATGAGATATAATAATAATAATTATTTTTGAATGTCTCATTCTAAGTTTTATTTCATTTCTTCTATTAATTTTTTTCTTTATCGTTTTAACTTTTTTTTTTTTTTCTCTTCTATTGTCAATTTGCTTCTTTTTTATCTCTATATCCGAATTTAACTCTCTTCCTCCAATGCAATTTAAATTTACCCCTCAATTCTTCATTTTTCTTTTTTTCTCGAAGTATATCTCTCCAATTCGAAGTTCTTCCACGTATTTGACATCGTCTTAAGAATAGAAAGTAAGATTATAAAGAGAAGACGATCCCAACAAATCAAAGATGGAAGACAAGACTTTCATTATCATATAGACGTCAAAACTTTAAATGTAGTTCATATTATATTTGAGTTTTCTTGCTTTCAAACCAAAAATCGAATCAAATTGATTTTGATCAATTTTAAAAATCCTGAACCTTGTTATAAATTTAATTAATTTTTTTTATTGATATTTGTAATTATGTTAAAAGTTTAAGAATTTTTTTTATTAATTACATCTCTTAGATTGTAATTATATCTAGTGACATCCATTTTTTTACAATCCATTTTTTCTGAAACATCCATTCAACAATTTATTTCTATATTTTTATATTATTATTTATCTATTTTATATTATTATTTATCTATTTTATTTTATTGTCTTTCTATCAATGATTTTTTTTATAAATTATCTCTTCTGAATTGGATGTTGAGAATTAAAAATACAGCTTGTGAAAAAAAACTTAACAATAGAATGCGGTAGCGGAATAAAAAAACATTTAAAATTATCTATTGAAAAATTTGGATGTTGAGAATTAAAAATACAACGTGAAAAAAACTTAACAATAAAATGTGGTTGCGGAATAAATAAATAAAAATTAAAATTATCTATTGAAAAATTTGGATGTTGAGAATTAAAACTACAACTTGTGAAACAAAAAAAACCCTTAACAATAGAACGTGGTTGCGGAATAACAAGCTTCACCAACATAAAGTCTCGTTCCACTACCCAAATGCGAAAACAAACAACATACGAAAACCCACGAAACAGAGACAGACACGAAAATAAGTCTTCTAGTACACAGCATGCATCATTACTGTTTCCTAGAATTGAGTCTCATAAGAAATAGGAGGAGCTCCCAAAAACTTGAGACTCTGCACCCACATTCTCTGACACTGTTGGCATTGCGCTAAACATTGGACTTTGCTCCCAATAAAATCCATCACTCTGCTGTTCCATCTCGTAACCAATGGAGCTAGTAATATCTGGTGGCAGTGGAGGAAGCTCCACCGTGCTCCCTCTGTTATCACTATCATCGTTATTGTAAGGATTGTAATTATTATTATTATTGTTGGTTTGGAAAAACGTTTGTTGACTCAAGTGGGAAGTTGCTGTGCTATCGTAGGAGGAAGAAGCGGAGGGAAACCCGAGGAGGGAAAACGGGTCGAGTGTTAGAACCGGGTCGGGTTCCTGGAGGGGTCGTTGGTCGGGGGAGATGATGGAAGTGAGGGATGAGCCGGGAATGGTGTCGGCATAGACGAAGTTGGTGCGCGCACGTGAGCCACGCATGGCACGTGCGGCTCGGTCGTAGGCGAGTGCGGCCTCGTCGGCGGTGTCGAAGGTGCCCAGCCAGTGCCGCTCCTTGGTGGAAGGGTCCCGAATCTCCGCCGCATACCGCCCCCACGGCCTCCGCCGCACGCCGAGGTATCTCCCGCCCCATGATGTTTGGTGCGGCTCGAGTGCCGTTTGCTTCTTCTTCGCCTTTGACGACGACGACGTCGTTCGTGGGTTCATCGTAGAAGGTTGGTGAAAGAAGGTTTTGTTTTGTTGTGGTCGACTCCGTGGTTTAAATAAGACACACCGGGGTGAGTAAATTCTCGTTTTTACCCTCATTTTCTTCTATTTTCCCATCTTGCCCTTCCTTCTAGAACCAGTCTCAGCATGTGCCTTTTTTTTTTTATCTTTTGGAAGATGATAAATGTAAATCTTAATTTTAAGATGTGTTGTTGCATGAATTAAAGAGAAAAATAAAGAAGAAGAAAAATATTTGATGTTATATATTTATAGGGTTTAAATAATATAACGAGTAGAATTAGAATAACATTTCTCTTATTGTTAATTATAATAAAAAGTGTTGTTAAAAAATTGAAATTTATAAAATTTAATTTTATTGTATTAGATTCTCAGAAACAACAAATTACGCCATACATAAAATACCTTTTAATTTGATGCAGATTTTATAGTACTTTGTGCGTGTTTGTCGAGTTTTCAACCACAATTACATGATTTGATACACTATTAATTATTTGATTGTAACTTTTTTTTCATAAATTGACAATTTTTAATTATGTGTCATGCAAAGATATGCCAAGATCATAAATTTTTGTATGTTAAAGATAGTATTCTAGTATTCTTTTATATAATAAGAAATAAAGAGAAATAAAAAATAAAATGCGAGAGAAAAATAAATGCATTAAAATAATAAATTATATTTTTAAGCTTCTTGAATCCACCCATTCATAATTTAAAATCTTGATAAAGAAAAGAAATTTGAGAGAAAAGAGTTTGAAAAAACAAGAATGAAAAAACAATGAATATGTCAGTTTTAGGGTAAAAAAGAGAGTTATAATAATGAGTGGGTGGCATAATTAGAAATCCAAATGATCAATGATAAGCATGTTCTCCTAGATACCCCATTTCATGATTATTTTTGCAATGAATTAGTTATGCTTGGTTTAGAATTAGCGAGAATAAAATTTAATATTATGTAGGAATAAGCCCCAGAAAGTCCAAAGTTGGTGCATGTGACCCTTTCTATGAAATGATGGGATTGTACATGAACGTGGAACTTATATCACGAATAGACCCTCCACGAAATCTATTAAGATAAAGAATCCACAAATAATTTGATGTCTCAGTCTTTTTTATTATTGTTTATGAGGCAAAAGTTGATATGAATTCATGAGATTCACATTCTGATGATGATTACAGGTGGGAGGAGGTGCATGTCCTTTTAGAAGCTAAGATCTTTAAGAATACAAAACTTATTATATTTATGATTAGTAATTATGTGGGTGTGCTATGCCCAGTCAATTCATTCTTCATTTGGCTGCATGTTTATGAACCATGCTCTACAACTTCTACTTCTACTTTTCTTACATTTCATATTTACAAAACCAAAATTCAACTTATTCTTTTCCTATGTTATGATTTTTTGTTCTTTAATTTCAATGAATATTAAATATATCATAAAATACTAAATAACTCTAAAATTATTTATAGTTTAGATTTAGTGGAAAAATAATAGATTTTAAAATAATAACAAAATAATAATAATAGTAATAATGAAAAATAGTGTAATTAAAGTTAATGTTATGTTATTAAGGCTTAAAAGTTAAAAAAAAAATTATGTAACAAAAGAAACTTCACTCTACGAAAAACATTAATAAGCTATTTATATTATGACATATGTATAAGTTTTTTTTTTTTTTTACAATGCTATATAAGTTAAGATGTCTCATTTTCAAAATTAAAATATATGATTAAAAATTAGCTAAATAATTAATATACTAACAGTGTATATATCGCAAAAATATATGTTTTGTTGTCGTAATTTAGCTATGTTTTGTTTATAACAACACTATTGTGACAAAAAAAAATCATCATGTACGTATCAATAATTTTTTAATAATGAATAATATTTAAGAATCAAAATATGATTAAAATATAAATTAATAAGTTGTTAAAATAGATATAAATATATAAAAATATTATATTATTATACAATATATGGCTCATTTATAATGTTTTATTATATTAAACTACAACGTCCTAATTACTCATAATTATATTTATTACGTACAGAGATAATTAGTAATAATTAATCAGTTATAAAATTGATCATTTAGTGGAATTAATTTACCAATAGTATTTATATTTCATTGAGACAGTTTAAAAAGTACTTAATCCACTAATTAGCTTGATAATTTCACTCTGAAACGTTTTTTAAAGATTGTAATTAAGGGAAATTTTAGTAGTTTATTAGATTATTGTGCAAGTCTATAAACTTATATATATAAAATAACCTTTTTGATATAATATGGTGTTTAAGGAATATCATTACTCACCCATGTGCAACCAATTAGTCAATGATAAGCTCCACAGTCTTCCCTTCTTTTTATTATCAACAAATTAATTAAAGATAACTTTTTTTAATATAATCATATTTAATTGTTAATTTTTTTTTTCTTGTATAATTTTGCCAAGTTTGGATTCTTCTATGACTCCACCATGCATATTCTTTAAATTTGATTTCAAATGAATTAGTGAATAGGAAGAAAATTGAAGGGTTGTTGTTGGGTAGCATGTGAAAAAAGAAAAACACATAGGCTTACCTTTCTTGAGGAAAACAATGGCTAACTAATTCTTAATTAGCACAAATTTATAATTGCCACTCCTTAGTGGGACTTTGACCAAATGTCTCTTACCTAACAAGGTTTGCTGAATTATGTCACCCCAAAAATTATAATTAATAAAAAATGTCATGTGTTAAGATTTTATTTGCCAGCATAGCTTTTGTTAACAGAAATTAACTCATCAATATATTATTAACTTAATTAAAAATAAAGTAAAATTACACTAATATTCATTTTTTTTTACAACATATATTTTTTAGAAGAGTAAACTTCGTTTATTTTTTTATGCAATTTTTATTAATTAAAAAAATAATGCAGTAAATATGTTTAAAATTTCTAGTATACATAGTATCTAATTATATACCAATTCAAACAAGCATTTTTAACATAGATATACAGATAATTATAAATAAATTATTTTATTTACAACTTTATTTTTCAAAGTTTTCATTTAACTAACTTGTCCGGCTTAATTAGCATACTAAATCACCAAATAAATTAAATTAACATATGATTTTTGTAGTTTAATATGTGATTTCGAACGAGGATTTTGAATTTGAAACTATGTTAAATATTTATAGAGAAACGCGTCTCCATTGTGGAAATAATGATTGAAATAAAAAAACCAACACCCATAAATGAAATAAAATTTTAATTTAACATTTGAAAACTGTATAATTAAGTTTTTTTTTTGTCATTAATTTTTTTGTTAGTTCTTAACTTAATAAAATAAAGTTATTTATTATAATATTTTTTAAATTTTATTTTTCATTAGGCTTATACTTAAAAGGCTAGAGTGAAAGCTATTTAAAATATCAATGAAAAAGATTATAAATTCCAGAAGCTAAAACATTTGTTCTTTGGAATTTCATGACCTTTAATTTAAAAATAAAAAAATAAATTGTTTGTACCAATAAATGCTCAAACACTTGATAATCCACCCATTAAAAATTAGTGTCAAAAAGAAAAATAAACTATTTAAATATTTAATAACTATGAACATCTCATATTATTTTATATGAAATTTAGATATATAATCAAAAGATAAAATCAACCACTTAACTACAAAAATCTCATCTACACAAAGTAAAACTCATAAATCCCTGTGATATACATAGCAAGACATTATTACTGAGAAATTGACTAATGCTTCCTTTGTTTTAAATAAATTGTTTTATTTTTACAATGAGATTGTGTTCTGAGTAGTATCTGATCTGTGCAGAGCATGAAATTTTTTGAGTTAGATTAAAATGAGCTTTATTAAGGCTTAAATTAGTTTTCTTCACTGATTTCTCAGATAGAGTTCACTTTTAATTAATTATTAATGCATATTAGCCTTATCTGTAAGGTGTCTACCCTATTAGTCATGGATAGATTGGTCAGAATACACACATATTTTAAGTTTTTAGATTTTTTTATAAAATATATTCATGAGTATTTTAAGAAAAAAATATATATGAAAAAAATTATTATTCCAATTCCTTCGTATGTGTTGAAATAGCTTGATATAAACTAATTAATCTTTTCAAAAGATGGTAGTACTTTGTAAAACATAATACTATTACCAATATTTTGAATAAAGCTGGATTGTTAGATGTTTTAAAGTTCAACTTAAGCATTTATTCTAATATTAGTACTATTTCCATTCAACCCCTTGTTGAGAATGAAAAACTTGTTTATTTTTCATATTAGTTTGGTACTCAAAACTTCATAGTCTCAATCTAACAAAAATCTAATTGTGTCTTTATTGTTATGATACCCTAACAAATAATTGAAATATAATTAAGGACATGTTTGTTTTAGTTTTATTTTTTAGTTTTTGAAAATAAGTTAAAAAATATTTAATAATTTTATTTTTAAAAATTATTTTAAACAAAATACATCTCATAACTGATTATGACAAAAAGTTAGAAAATGATTTTGATAAAACAAGTGATTTAATATAATTATTGAATTAAAGGATTGATATCTAGGTGAAAATAGAAAAAAACTATTACTGACAACACCTCTTGTCGGTTTCAAATTTTTAGTTTTTAAAACTAAAATAAAAAATCGATTTCAAAAATCATTTTAATAAAATATTTATCAAACACGTTTTCTATTTTTAAAAATTAAAAACGCGAAAACTGATTTTAAAAACGCAAAACAAACAAACTAAGAATATTGGCTAAATGAGAATTTCGTTTTTCCTTTTTTTTTTTTGGAATAATGATATATAAGATTTAAAGTAAAATTTTAAAGACAAATATTATGGTATAAGAATGAACTAATTTTTGTTTTTATGGTGTATAATAATATTTGATCTTTAAATTCATTATAATTATTATTTCGTTATACAAATTAATGTAAGTATTATTTTTAATAAATTTATTAATCTTTTTTTATTATTATTTTTATTAGTTTAATATTTTTTCTAAATCAAAATATTTTTAAATAATTTATTATCTTTTTATCTCTTTATAATAAATATAATTAAAAAATAAGAATATAATTTGTAAAAAATAATTAATACAACTTTAAACTTTACAAACTTCATATTTCTAGAAAAAAGGTTTATAAAAAGAAAAGAAATACTTATTTTAATGAGAGTTCCATAGGGATTAGGACATGGTATTGATCTTTCATAAGTTTAGGTTGGTGTCTCGTAATGACAACTTTTGTCGTCTTCATTGGCTCCAAAGGCATCTTTGTAATTGTCCCACACCCCCAAAATAAGATACTCCCAGACCAGTCAATCACTTCTCTTAAAATATTAGCTTCAACATGCACCATTTCATTTTTCTTTTTATTATATTCAAGGTGTAAACATTGGAAACATTAAACTTTCATCATTATTGTCATTCTTCAAATCATATCTTTTATCTATCATATATATATATATATATAGTACATCAACAAGATTACTTTCTATTAAACTATACTTTTTTTGGACACCGTTTAAGATTTTTTATTTTTATATTTTTATACAAGTCATTTTTAAAAACTTATGAAGCATTATATGTGCTTTGGAATTTTATTCTTTATCTCTTCTAAACTACATTTAACAACTTTTCATTTGTCAACAGAATTTTCTATTATTAGTTACTTAATTATTAATAGATAACTAAGACGGTGGAAGGAATAATAAGATGAGGAAAGAAATTAATGATTAAAGTGGTAAATAAATCAATGAAGTTATTTTAAAATGGTAAAATAAATTCATTAATAAGTTTAATATTTTTTTAAATAAAGTTTAAATTTTTATTCAATTTTAACAATTTTCGAGTAAGGTGGAATGATTCTAAAGGAAATGAATATGATGAAATAAATAATTTAAATGTATGAATTTAAAAATATTTAATATTATTTATTAAAATTGAGTTACTTATAACAATATTATTCTTTAATTTTGTTCAAATTGTTAAAGTAATGACAATGACCTACTTTAGAAAATTAGAAAATAAAAAAAGAAAAACATATTCCTCAATATTAATATCAACGTCAAAATTTTAATTTTGATATATAAGATTTTCGTTTTCTAATACATTAATATTGATAAAATAAATTATATAATACAAGGTTCATTTCTCTTTAAAATTAAAGTACAGTGAAAAAATTATACTTAATAAATATTTAGGCTTAGATAAACTTTGAAAACATGGGAAATGTAAGAATCATACGGTCAATATTTTTTTTTATATTGAGATATTGTCCTTCTCAATATTTTTTAATTCTATACATATTTTCTTTTAAGTCTTAATGAAACTATAATTATTTTTTTATTTATCATTAATATCTAATAAATTGTCTAAAAGTTTGTTTATCTTTAAGGTTTTGGTGGGTGTACTTATCCTGTACTTGTGTTCTGTGAGGGTATGAGATTTTTCTTTCTTCTAAGACCATTTTGCATCTTAAGAATTTTAAAAAGATGGATCATTTATGTTTTTAAATGTTCTCAATTTTAAGATATGGGCAAATTATATAAGAATTTAGCAATATGGTTATCATTATGGGAGTGTTTATTTAATAAATGTTTTTTTTAATATCTTTTAAATTTGTTAAATTTATTTTTTATGTTTTTATTTTACCTCCTTGAAACATCTATGTTATCATTGAAATATCATAAATTTCTTTAGCATTTTTAAATGTGTGAACTTTCAAGTATTAATTTTATGATAGAGTATACATGAATGTGTTTCTTGCTTTTTAATCAAACAAATATTTTTTTATTTATTTATTATCCACCTATTTCTTAGAAGAATATTCTTCATAATTCCAAAGGAATGTAGACATCTCCACAATGTCCAATATGTCAATTTGATATAATTCGAAGAATACGAACATTCATTGTTTTCACTAGTTAAACTTAACTTATTTGAACATAGAAAATCTATTAACATGTCTCTTCATTTTCCATGCTTATATAGGATATTTTTCTCCAATCCTTGAAAAAGCTAATAACAAAAGATTAGCTCTTATACCAACATAAATAATAGGTTAACTCTAGTTCGAAGTTTGAATAGAATTTATAAACTTTTTCTAAAGTTGTTGAAAAACAAATAAGCATTGGATAGTCTTGTGACTAAAACTAAGATGGAAACCGTGTTGTCCAAACGGTTTCATTGTCCACAACTTCATTGGAAACCGTGTTGTATAGTACTCATTGCACAAACGCCAAGTATACCAAACTAAGATGGACCAAATTTTCAGATGTAAACGTCGAGGAATTTTATTCTTCCTTACTCACCAAGCAAAACGACAATCCAATCTCATTCATGCTTCATGTTCTTAAGTGGTTTACATATGAACACTAAGGAGGGTCGTTCATGTCGTCGTTTTCGTTTTCTGGGAAACTCCAACCTCCTTGAAATCTGTGCTCGTGGAGTTTTCCTTTCCTCGTGTGCGGCTATAGTGGCGTGAGCATTATTTTTATGGCTCTGGTTCTGTACGCTACCAAACATGAAACAAAGAAGCCATTTAAAAACTTGTAATAACGCATGCAAAGGAAGCAATGGCATGTGTTTTTACTTCTTTCTGTCAAATCACAAACAGTAAAACTTGAATTAAAGAGATGTTAAGGTGTTGAATTTAACAGTTTGTTTGGATATTCTCAACTCATGTGATCATCTCGATGGATGATGGGTCCTGCCTACAGCTACAAGTGACTACCTCACTGGTCTTTATAGTCCAGGCATTTACTGGAGAATGTGAATCCTCTTGGAATGTTCAAACTTTAATCATTCTCTTGCATTAATTCCGTATTCTTTTACCCAAAGAACATGCTCACTTATATGTTTACTTATAAACTTCTTTTTCTACACACAGGATTTTGTTTTAGATATTATGATAATACATGGATTCTCGGGAAGAAAGTAAATATATTTTCCAACTTAAAAAATATTAAAATATTAGATTATACGTTTTTTCATTTATAAATTACTTTATTTTTTATTTATAATTAATAAAAAAATTTAATTGTGACTTTCTCCTCTACTTTGACTTTTTTTAAATTGTTATTCTTATGTTTTGGGTTCTTTTAGACATTTAATAATAATAATAATATAACGGAGACATTCATTCATTATTTTGAGTGAGGTTTAAAAAAAATCAAGATTTTAATTTCAATAAAAAATTAAAACATATAAAACACTAACTTCAGCAAAAGTTTCAATGTTTTAATTAGGGAGAAACGTTTAGAAATATGAATGAATCATAACGATAATATTAGTGCTGTTCATCTTAAAAAACACACACAAGATTAACTTAATAGTCACACTCCTTATTACTTTTTAATTAACAAATATGGTAACTTCACTCATTTAATTTTTTGACATGTTTAGGTTAGATGACAAGAAGTGAGAAAGGTATTAACATGAAATTTAAGTAAGGAGGTGAACATGACTTAATAAAATTACTGATCAAAAGACTAACTACCCAATGAAACAAGCCTTTTGATTCAACACAGACGCTAATCGGGAGATTCTCACATGCTTGATGTTACCTGCAACTCTCACGTTTTTGGCACACTTGAGGATGTCCTTAGAATTCACAAAGCACTTTTCAGACTTTAAACCAAATATAGTGTCTAGAGTTTGACCTTTGATATAACATCTTATGCTTTTGAAGTAGTAAGATCTTTCATTTAACATCTGCTTTTGAAATAGATATTTCATGACAAGGTATTAACTCTTATACGACTAAGGCGTGTTTGGTTCCAATTTGCAACTTGGGAGTCAACTTTTAATCACATTGTCCTGAATTATTTTGCTTTACATATATTCCTTTTAGATATGCTTATGTAAGTTTGATCCTTAGCAAATTCTTTGTTGTTCTTCACCATGATACCAAGTTTATTATCCTCAAAGTTTTATCAGAAGATCAAAAGGCATGCCTTACTCCATGGTTCAATCCGTTTCATGGGTAAGAGAAACATGAACTTCACAGAAATCAAAGCCACTGAAACAGATAAGGATAGAGCCACATGGCCACAAGAACTTTGAGAGATGAATCAAGGGTGCTGTGTGAAATGTGACATGTTAGAAGGTTGTGTCATAAGCAGCATAGTCTTTGCCCTTTGTGACGCTACTAGTTTTCACAAATGATGCTATTTTACAAGCCTTCAGTTTCAGGGGGGTGAATCAAACAACTGTTAAGTCCATATACGTACACTTGAGACCTTGACCACCACACTTGACATCACGATCACATTGGACAGAAAGAGAAAAATCCTACAACAATGAGAGGTCGAGATGGAATGTGCATCCAAGTCATAAATTCACAATTTGAAGGAGTTATTGCACAATGTTGATCCACTACATAAACATTTTACAAAAGTTTCATGGTGATGTCAATAACCAAAGTGGATGGCTATCTCTTGAGTAGCACATGACAAAAGATTGGCCGAAGGAGGCATGCCATGGTGCTGCATGGTAGAGGATATTTTATAGCAGTTAGGTGATATACTTTGGCATTCTGGCACATCTGCTACTATAATTGAAGGTGCTTCAAGTTCAATATTCTGGTCTTCCTTCTCATCAAGCTTTCTGTCCTCTGCCATCACTCTCAAAAACGCCTCAAGTGCATTACGCATCCAGTCATATCTGCTGAGTCTGAATGCCTGTTCTATGTTCAACTAGGAAGACAAAATTTGAACTTTGACTCAGTTTGAGTTGTCCTCGAAATGTGAAAGTGAAAGCATTATTATGCTTCATGTGATGTCAAAAAAGTACATATTTAATGCAATATACTTATGTAGGTCCAGTAATTTTTGAACTTTTAACAATTTGAAACTTGAATTATGCAATTCTCCTAAGGGTGTGTAATTCTTTAAGGATTATTCATAACACTTACCCATTGCCGAGCACGATTTTTCTGCTCTGGCCATGTGTTAAGTTCTTCAGTCACCTCCAATGCAAACATGTATCCTCTGCAGCCTCCTTCCACGACACACAAGTCTTGACTGCTTTTGCTTCTGAACTCCCATATTCCTAATGGAATTTCCTGAAAATGAATGCAAGGCAATTAGACAAAGATTCATGAAACTCAATACCGTATAGCAAGAATGAACATCATCTCAGCATTATCCCAGTTGTTGCATGGAAGAATCATTACTTCAATCAGTTATTTTTCAGTAACCAGAAGAAAATGTACAGTTAATGGACCACGAACCTGATTTTCAATCAGTTATGTTTGCAGTTAATGCTTCATGATATGGAAGCAGGTTTCATAAAAGACTTGAGATGTTTATGTAGTATCCTACCTTTTTTAAACTGCAAGAAGAGTGATTTAGGGGGACTTGGATGATTCTATTACTAGTTTGGGGCTTAACCAGGTGAATGTAAATCTATGCTACCAGAGATGGGAATTTCAAGAAGTCTAAGACCAAAATTTACTCCAAGTACATCTTTTTCCCACCAGGTTGAATCAAATCTGAGTTGCACATATGCATGGAATTACAGTATAAGTGAATAGTTTCCATGCAATTACACAGAAGTTAGCCGCCAATGAAGGTTTGTTTTGAGAATATGTGAGCACTAACAGCTTTGCAATACTGTTTGAACTTAGAGAAAGGTTTCACTATATATCTCATATCTTCCTTAGATGGTTAAATTTTTTATACATATAGAAAACTTACAAAATAGAAGCTGAAAGCGATGAGATATTAATGGCATGGTCAAAATCCTTGGATGATATATCATTTCATACACAGATTATTGAATACTATCGATTCTTCCTTTTGTTATGTCATTCTAATTATTATGTTTAAACATTCCATGATGTAGATGGATTATAACCAATATTTCAATAATCAAGAGGGAATGATTGAACCTACTCTTAGTATTCCTTTAACTCCTGCTTCCTCTAAAGCTTCGCGGCAAGCAGCTTCTGTAACTGTCTCATCATCCTCCCATCCACCCTGCAAGGGAAGAAGTTGAACATTTTCAATATAAAGGGTTTCATGTTAATGAAGTTCATTAATCATTAGTGCAGACAATATGAGGTACCTTTGGGAATACAAGGTCATCACGTTTTGGAGAAGAAACCATTAGTACTTCTATTATCTCCTCAGTTTCTCCCATTAGATCTGTGTTGAACTTTCTCCATCTATAGGGAATACATCTATTAAAATGCATAAGAAAAATTAATTAAAATCACATGGATGATAAGATTCTGTTGCAACTAATAATTCTCATTAGATGCTAGTCCGTAGAACTCTACTAGCAAATTGTATACAGCTTGAAAGGGGTTCAGCAGTCTCAATTCAAAATCTGTATCTGTAGTAACAGCGGTTACTGTACAAAAAGAGCTCCGAATATTTATCCCAGTTAGATATTACCAACATTCAGAACTTCAAAATTGAGATTAACACAGGTAGGTGAGATCTTCTAGCTTCTTATTGTTCTTCTTTCACTGATCTATTACCTTTCTAGTAAAAAAATATTTTTGGTAGATGCCTATAGTATGGACAGGTGATCTTTGGTTTTGAAAACATATCATTTACCATACACGCGACCTCACAGTTTCTTCTTCTGGGGCATATATGATTATGGTATAAAGAATTCGAACCTGATCCAACTACATGTTCAAGGTTCACAGTTCACTAAAAAGAGAGAGAGAAAGGAACAGTAAAGTTAAATGTAAATCATGCTGAAAGAAAAAGTGTAGTGGTTTTCATGCTTTTTATTTTGGCAATACCAAATTTTTAGAATTCATGAGACATGTTAAGATAAAAAGACAAGAAAAGTAAAATGTTAAATGTCCAAGTGAAACTTTAAATTATTTCTTTTACCAAATCCCACTTATTCATTTTTTTTTTGTGCAGCCAAAAGATTTAAAAATTCGGAGAGTAGCTTTCCTTAGTTTAATCCATTTTTGGGTTTATTTTATGGCCACTTGGATATATTGATTGCTTGAAATGAGGATCAATGATTCCAGCCTGATAAAAGGAATAGATCCGAAATTTCCCTGCAACTGGAAATAGCAGGCTGAATACAACCTTCAACCACAAACATGTTTCCCATGACTTGCATGGAAATTGGCAAAGGCAACGTTTTATTAATTTTCTAAACAACAACACTACCCCAGTTAACTACTCTGCATGCGCACAGTGTTGATAACTCTCGAGATTGTCCTCTTATTATATTCAGATAAAAGCCAAAATAGATCACGCAATTTGAAGCATTTTATTATATAGACGTTAAGTCAATGTCATGGCCCACTATTTTGATATATGATTGTAATGGACACATCCGCATGAAAATAATAAAATAGTTTAACATCAAACAGAGACGACAATTATGTATCAACAGTTTTATGAGGTCCCTCTTCTATTCCATAAGCAAAAATAATTTAGATTTCTACTACTGAACATGACTTTATCAGTTTTCTATTTACAATACAAGAGCAGAGAAGGAAGGGAGGAATAGGTAGGTAACTCACTAAGAAGACACAGATGCAGAATTGGAACCAGATTTTGATCAAGTACTGTGAAATGCATGGCTATAACAAAAAGGAGTGATATAAGTCAAAAGGATGAAGAGACTTTTGATCACAAAAGGAAAAGGATGAGATTTTGATGGTTGTTAGAGATACCATGTTAGATTTGATCACAACACCTATTGTAAAAGGTTCTTAATAGACATCTAAACCACATCCAAGTAATTGAGGTAAGCATGTGGAACTATCCAACAATTACTTGATGTGTTTTTTCTTGGATATGCATATGGTTGCAAACAAGAGTAATATCCTTCAAGGATCTGAAGCACTCAACAAGGTTTTCTCCTTACACAAGTGTTAGGAACCAAAGGGTGAGTTTTAAATACATGTTGGGCACCTTCAACAAATGACAATTGATTTTAAGATGAAATCTAAGAAAGGTAAAGAAGCCATGGCCTTGAAATGGAAAACTTACCCAGAGACAAGGCGCAAGTTGTCTTCATAACGCTGTCTTTGTCGCCCTGTTCGTGCTGGCACAGACGACATAGGTTCTAGCAGAAGACAAAAAGCAGTTGAAGTACACAAAGGAAAACAGGGGAGAATCAAAATCAAGGTTGTGAATTGAGAATCTGGGGGTGTCTGAAAATGAACCAATAAAACAAAAAGCGTGGAAACATGGACAGGTGAGGCTCAATCCTCAACACAAAGGAGCATATCTAAAAGCCCTTGCATGAGAAAGCCAGCATGAAAAAAAGGTGATGTTTTGGCCAACAAGGTTTTGGCGTTTAGGTTGAACAATTGCTTAGATGAAGGTTCAGGTGTTGAAGATTCAAGAACCCTTTCATGATAATGGTTTTATTTGTTTTCATAGCATAAGGTTACTACAAATAGATGAATGAAACCATAAATGGTAGGAAAGTCAGAAGAAAGTATGCTTGTCTTAGCAGAATGAAAAAAGCAACAAAGAAGAAAGGCTTCCACGGAAAATAGGGAAAGAGAGTGATAAAGCTTTAACGGGGTGCAGCAATGGCATCATCTTATATAGCAACCATCTCTTCAGCTTAATACAACAGCTTGTATTTTACAAAATAAAGAAATTGGTCATAGTGTTTAATTATTCTTTATTCTGATTCTGGTAAAAAAAAAAAAAATTTAATTTAATTATAAAATAGTTATCTTATCTGTAAGTTTATCGAATACAATCTAACATAGTTGACAAATAATGGCCTTGTGTATCAAACTTGTGATAAAGAGTTCAAGTTTCAAGTCTTAGGGTATGTAAAGATATGTTAAAATAGACGGATCCTGTTAAATAAAACTTAGTTCTCTGAAACTAAGTTGGATCCTTTTAAAAGCATAGGATTTTTTTGTTATTACTATATTGTCAGAAAAAATCGTTGTTATATGATTTTTTTTTACTTGTTAGCTCTTTATGTATCAACTCATAGAAAATTGTATACTCAATGCATATTTATTAATTTCTTTAAAAATATATTTATTTTCAAAAATATTTTAATAATGTGTAATTTGAATTTCTTGAGCATAAGATTCACCAACACCTTCAAAAGGTCTTATGCTTGCTTTTATGATGAACGGACATTATGTTTAATGAATGATTTTTACTGTGGGATTTAATTTATTTAAAGTCATTAAATAAAATTAAAAAATAAAATCAAATGGAAAAGTAAATAAATTAATAACATTATCTTGTGCTTAAAAATCAGTCTTTATTTTCACCATTAACGAATTGTCTATTTTTTTAATAAAATAAAAGTGATAGAATGAAGACACTCCCACTACTACCAGAAAAGGTAGTAATGGCTTCAGTTTGTCCATGAGTAAAAATAGTTTTTTAATAAAATAATAATTTGTTATCATTTTTAATGTTCAGATAAATTTATTTTAAAAATAAAAAAGTAAAAAGAATTTTTATTTTTTAGAAACAACTTAAAGTTGCTTAAAAATACATCCCCATTTAACAATATATTTTTTTTAACATAACCAAAAGACCTAATAGAAGTCTTATCCAGAAGATTGGTGAAAGTGTTACATAACTTAACAATTCTGAATAACTGAAGTCAACAATTTATAAATATTTTCCTTTTTTAATCCATCAATATTTAAAGACATAACTATATAATGAAATCATCCATTTTTAAATATATATATGTTGAAATATTGAGTCACATGGTAGTTGGATATCTTTTTATTTCTTTGATGATTATATGCGGCCTGCATAGAGATAAATAATAGAAGATAATAATTAACGAGGTTTAGTTCTACCAAACTTATATATATGATTATTTTTAATTAGTTGGTGGTATAAAATATTCTTTTAGTATCGATAGTGTAGAATATACAATAGTGCATACAAATTATTTTTATTTTATTTTAATATAGTATCTCTGTATAAGAAATATAAATTTTCAATCAATTAAAGATTATTATAAATTTAAATTCAAAATATTCATTAAAAATTAATATCAATAGTACAAACTTCATTATTTTTTATAATAATAATAATAGAGTAAAAATTTACTATTTTTTTTAAATTAATTTTTTTTAATAACTAGTATTTTAAAATTATCGTAAAAATGTTTTATATACGTAGTATACTATAGTGTATTTTTTTCACTCTTTTCCATGCTTTCTCTCAATTTTTCTTTTAGACAAGATGATTTAGTCTTTAACACTTTTATAAATTAGACGAGGTATACTTTTAAGTTTTAATGCTAATAAATTAAGTTAAAAAATTTTATATTAATGATTTTATTTGTAAGACATATTTAAGAATAAAGAGATATAAAAATAATAATAATAATAGAAGATGATTAGAAAAGAAGAAGTTATGAATGCATTTAAAGGAGAATGTAACTTCTACCTAAATAAAGTATAATAGATGATGTCTAGGTGAGAAAAAGAAAAATTGTGTACTGCTGTAAAGACATTGAAAGTTATTTCTCAAGGTTCATCTCCATCTCTTAGTAGCAATATGTGGTAGAATTATTATTTACAAACATTAAAATGTAAATAAAAATCTAACGTGGAGGACTTAAAGGAGGATATGTAAAAATTTATGTAAAAAAGAGAATTAGTCCCACCTCTCTTAAATTAACGAGTGAGAAGAGGAGAATCATCTCTAAATAGAGTCTTCATGTTTTTATTTTCTTAAACTGAGTTGAATGAATGTTAAAAAGTTAATTTTTTATTTACTTATATTTGAGTTCAATTTTGGGTTAACTAATGATGATATATCTCTTAATTGGAGAATTAATGATAAGATCTCTTAATTTTGGGTATCCAAAAACATGTGATTTATAAATACTTTCTAGTCTCTTGCAATACTTTTACTATAATCATAAAAGTTATTAATCATGATCTATAAAACAAATCAAATCATAATATAGTGTATAAAAATCATTGTTAAAATTGAAATAATATAAACTAAATATAAATTATATTGCCTAAAAATTACATTTATAAAAGTTTATGTTAGTACATGACTAATAAATAAATAATTTTGATTTAGCATCTTTAAAAAAAAAATTCTTACCTTATCCCAACCTTTGTCACTTCCTACTCATGCAATGATGGTCATCCACACATATCATCTATTTTTGTATTACAATATCTCAAAATATACATAAAAATAATTTGATTGATAGATAGAAAAAAAAATAAAACTTTGTGATTCAAATTAAGTTGTAAACTCAAGTATTTGACCTACTTCTTAATATGGTATATATAGAGTAAACACTAATAACATAAAAAACTTAGAGCATAATAATATAAGAATAAATAATTTTTGGTATAACAAATAAAACCAAATCAATAATGGATAAGATAAATAATTGTCAATCGCACCTATATTTAAACATAATTGTTGTTAAAATTGCAATTGAGTAAAAGATAAAATATTTATTACAAAGATAATGTACTTACTTGATGAGAATTTTTAGGATTTATATGTATGTGTATTTTTGATATATGAAATATATCTTATATGCATATATGTATCTTTGATTCATATACTCGTATACTCTCTCTATATAAATAGAGTAAAAATATGACAATATAAAATATTAACAAAATTTTAATTATAATTACCTAAATCAAAATAATAACCTAATATATTTTTTTCTTATTCTAAAGAATAATAATAAAAAATTTAATACCTAGTTTAAATAAAATATAATAGAATAACACTCCTAATATTTCTCCTTACTTTAATATGTTATTTGAATTTGATATTTTTTGTGTCTATTATTGTTTTCTTATTCTTTTTCTTGTAATTCTTGTCATCTTCTTGCTTGTATATGATCATCTCTTCATTTAATTTCATTAATTTATTATTAAATTTTTCCTTTGCAATCATTTGTCGACAAACTTTTTTTAACATGATATCTTTTCTCGAAAGACTTCTTCTTTTCTGTATTGACAATCTTCCATTTAACCTCTAACATGTTGAAATTTACTTTTTTGATCTCATTCCATTTATGTTTCATCCATAAAAGGTAATGCAAAGAAAATATATTTTTCTTAGAGCACCACTTCTTCTTCTTATTTTTCTTTATGTTATTGTCTTTCAACATAAACAAAGGCATGGTAGAAAATTCCTTCAACTTTTGTAGTTTTTGCAGCTCAGCCTTAAGTTTATCTTTTCATGATCACATTTTTTTTAAACTCTATGTTCTTTAGCTTGAGAACCTTGTTTTTGGCCTTTAAGATTCTTCAATCTTCTCCTTCTCGAGGCACATCTGTTGTAGTATTTCTTACATTTTAAGCAATTACTTTTTTTATGATTGTAATTTCTTAGAGTTTTGTTTTTTCAACAATAATATTGGCTTGGTTGGTTGTTAGGATTTTCTCCTTCAACATTCTTCTGCCCCTCTTTATATGTACTTCATATTCCTTTTTTTTTTTTCAAATAATCTCAAATATTTTTAGGTAAATTTGAGGTTATGATTCTGAGGAGAATAATTTATGAAACACCTGTTGTTTCTAGTGTAAATAATTCATTGTTTGATCAAATAATATATGTCCTAGTACGCAATGAATCATTTAAATACCATGTGGATTCTTTTAATTTTTTCCTAACCAACACAAAATTTTCTTGAATTTAATTATAGAGGATTAATATGTGCTCAATGTCAATCATTCAACAATCAAGATAATATGCATTTCAATTAAGGATCGCTTACATATAATCTGGATTTTCAATAATGATTTGAAACGTTTGATGTAAATTGTAAGAATAATAAAAATACAATGAAAATAAATCGCTAGAAAGCAAATGAGCAACAAAAGATAAATGTGTGAAAGAAGTAAATTGCAGAAAAGTAAATATAACTCATTACCAATAATAAAACATGAAATGATAAAAGAAATCGATAAAGATGATGATCCAAATTGCAAAAAACTCAATTAAAAATATTTGTTTCGTGTTCGTAGCATTTTTCGGAATGTAAGTTTCATCATCCAATTTGACAATCACTCCTTTTATATTTATTTCACCCTATTTATATTTTTCTTGTATAACCGCTAAA